TGTAACGCCTCTGGTGTTCCAGGTGTCCATGGGCGACGCCGATTGCTTACCATCAGGTGATCCATCTGCTCGTTTACCGGCTTATGCGATAAAAAATCCGAAAATATGTTTTTTCGAATTTTTGTCTATTTATCTGTATGTATGTCCGGGCTAAACTAAAAAATTACTGCATTAAATTTCCTTCAAGTTTTGCATGAATATTACTAACAGGTCGGGCCAACATAGAGGCTACACCTATCACGCTATCACCTACGGGCGAGGACCTGTGAATTACTATTCCATGTGAGTAACTATACCACGCGGACGAAGTTGCGGTGCAGCAAATTTTTAAATAAATGATGTTTATTAACTAAATAGACTACAAGCTACAATGCCAGTGCTAAAACTAAGTGTGTTTAAAAAAAAGTAGGCCTAAATATAAGCCTGGCGGTGTTGAGCTCAAAACTGGTTCATCCCTAGGGCAACCACTGATTAGACTACCTTATCTGCCTTGTAAACAGAGGAGGGCTATAAAGTTCGTGACACAGAGTCCTGCTAGAATTTCAACAAGAAATAACAAGAAATAGTTTATATCAATTCTAACATTATTTACAAAAACGGGTTTAATGTAAGTGTACTGTCTTTGTTCACCAAATGGCGTTAATTTGAACCTATCGTTTTTCGTCCAATAGGGAATTAGTTAGTATCACTCCATTGTACGTTCAATATTTGACAGCTGCTGTGATTGGATGAAATAACCTTCTGCTACATTTAGGCCATCTGTTCCCGAGCGTACGGCGCGTCGCGTTCCGCGCGCGCCTCAAAGAGCCATCAGACCACCACAGATGGGGCCCAATACGGCCGATGCCGATTCGGAGTCGCGGAGAACCTAACGGGTAACCGGGGCTCCGACTCGACGTGCAGGAGAAGGAACGGGGTGGTTTTTAGTCAGTAAGAGTTGTCCTTGTAATTTAAATAAAAGACTTCGTTAATTAACTAAAAGTCGCGAGTTACTCTCCTGAATATACTGAGAAAAGCTCTACTAGTTTCGAACCACAGAGGGGCTTCCTCATGAGCAGCGTACACGGTCGCGGCGATGTCGCGAGCCTACTGTGGCTTTTGTAGCTCGAAACTATTACAGCTTTGCTCAGTATATTCACGTGAGTAACCTATGATTTTTAGGTAATTTAGTATGTCTCACGATAGTTATTATAAGATTATTTTTTATTTATGTTTTTCAATGTTATTTTGTGTGTTCATATTCGGTGGTCAATGCCTGGTGGCGAATATTATTTTTCTTTCTTATTTCTTTCTTTCAAATACTTCTTCTGCATAACATTAAAATACTTCAATAAGACACAATGGAAGAATGAACCATCCCAGATTAACTCGTCGAGTACCGTCATTATAGACACAATTATAGAACAATAGGTTGCGGTCACCGGTGACCGCTTGGTGTTTGACAGTTTAAATACGCTGACTTCCTAGCCCCATACCTTAATACCACCAGAGGGTGCAACGTGAACAAAATACAAAGGAGAACCTGTCTAAGATAAACACCGATATTGGAGCCATACTGGCGTTATCTGACTAAACATTATCCTGGCTAATGGTCCCTTAGGATCAGACTAACATTCTTCCTTTTCCTAGTCCCAAACTGGCTTTGGAATATTGTAGATGGTTTGCAACGCGTGAGTTCGGTAAATGTAGTACCTACTAACTTACCATCAAAGATGGCTAAAATAGTATATTAATTAGTTAACTTAGCTATTAAGCGTAGATTATAAGTTTTTGTAAAGTCAAGATTAGTTAGGTGTGTGTGAACGGAATGTATATAAGTATCGTACTTATTCTCCAGTTATGATATAAGTCATAACATAAATAATACAAAACTTGTGATTCTGTTTCTGAATTTGTGCTATTTTACAGAATTATAACATCTGAAGAATCTGAACTGAGGTACTTCGGCCTACCCAGCGATTAAATCAAAACATTTATTTGCATGACAATTGCGTATATAACAGGCGATCTTAAATCATTTATTAAGGGGGGGTGGGTGAGGGGAAAACGAGTGTCTGACTCTTATGCTGGAATACTGAAACGTTACTCAGATTTAAGTCGTGCTTAAATATCGTGGTATCTCTGTCATTTTACAAAGAATTAGTGGTGACAGAACTATACTTAAGCACGACTTAAAATTGAGTAATGTTTCAGTATTACGACATTACTGGCTTAAATCTTAAACCAATAAGACAACTTGTCTAATAGTCGTCTCTAAGAAGTCCTGTATAAAAAAGTATATTTTCATTCAGCTTATCTTTTTAGATATATTTTATACGAATGTGTTGCAACTACCGAATATTAAACTCTCAGGCCGTGTTCAAGAATCAATCTGTCTGCATATTCTTCAAGTAAATCTTCTTGTAGAGAGAACAATCTATGTATTAATACCTGAAGAGAAAATGTTCTAGGAACTGATATAATATTTTATCTTCGGTCTTCGTAAATACGACCACATTTCTTCCTTTCGCGCTCAGCTTAAATGGCTTCCTGTCCGTGAAAGGAGATCCCTCAGATCCCTCTGCATGCTCTTCTCTATTCTTAATGATCCTTGTGCTCCAGATTACTTAAAATCCTGCTTCCAGCTATTAGGCAGTTGCCACAACCGTAACCTCCGCTCGACGAACAACTTGCTTCTTGAGATACCTTCCCACCGGACCTCTTTTATTTCTAATTCTTTTACAATAAGTGTCATCAAACTTTGGAATGCGCTCCCCCTCAATATCAAAAAAGCTCCTAATAAAATCTCCTTCAAACACCAAGTTCATGAATTTTATTTAAAATCGCTGCAACGCTAGATCTAGGTCTTCGTCGATATATATTTATGTATGTATTTATACCTATATATTTTATGCATATGACTATATATACTATTTACTATTATGTAATATATATGTATAACTATATTATTTAATAATTACCATTATTTTTTCCTCTCTCTCTCTCTCTCTCTCTCTCTTTGTTGTTAGTTTATTCTCCGTACCTCAGTTTTCGCAGATTTTCCACTTAAACCCTAAGGTTGACTGGTAGAGAATGCCATATGGCATTAAGTTCGCCTTATGTACCATAAACAAATTATGTACATTAAAGAATAAATAAATAAATAAATAAATAAAAATATTTAGATTTTACTCTTCTTTGGACTTTTAAAGTCCGTGTTACTACAATACTGCTATTTTTGGGAAATGATCAAGGATTAATGATATTGTATAAGACGATTGATATTGAAGAAGGATTGATATTGAGTTGTGGCGACACATGGTACATGTCAACGGATGACGTCACAAAAATCCTACATTCCACATGTAAAGTTTACATGCAAATTAACACGGATAGAAAATCCCAACGAACAACTGTTGGGCAGAAAGCCCGCGGGCCAGGCACGATCACCTCGCCTGGTCGGAGGATCCTCCTTTTCCGATATCAGGGAACTTTTCACTCAGTTCCCTAAAGAGTCTTCGAAATACCAAAAGAATATCGGGTATGACAAGGTGCACTGGATTTCCTTGCGCGGCAGTAGAAGTAACAATTGGGTAGTTTCCAGGGTATCAAAATTAAAAATCTAATTAGTCCGTCAGTTAGAATGAAAAAATATTAGACACGTATTTTTTTTTCTCGTATTAATTTGCAATACTTAGATAAAATGGCGCTAAGTTTAGGAGTGGGAGGTCGTTACGTCATAACGTGCTACAAAATGTGGCACGCTGTGACGTCACACGATATTTCAAATTAATATATCGTCGAAAGTATTTAATTTTGTGAGAAAAGAAAAAATACGTGTCTAAAGTTTTAAATTAATGTACCAGACAGTCTTTGCTTAATGTCATTTATTCTCTAGATGAGGCAGAGGTATTTGACCTAAAACATTTAATAAAAAATGTTTATGAGTCCAACTATCATCTGATATTTATAGTAATCTTCGTAACCAATACACTGACCATATCTCAGTTACAATCCAACTGAATGAACCGGACCATTGCCAGTAAGACAACAAGGCGACACGATATCGCATCCACAAATAGGATATATTATTATTCTATGCTTGTAAATTCAAGAAAACCCGTTACATAAACTGAAGCATGCATTATGCAGGAGTTCCGACTAGAAGATTTATCAGATTCCTGTACTGGCTCGCGGTTAGTTTTGGAGGTTTGAGAATGTTTTATAAAATTAGGTTGAGACCAACGAACACAGAACTTTTTGGTATTACGTCACTCTTAAAAGGTATACGATTTTCATTTATTTAAGGTCACTTTTCACATAACATAACATCACGTATTTTATCCTCAAAAGGGTAGGCAGAGTTCCGCATTATGCTACTGTACAATGTAACACCCACTTTTCACTATTTATGTTATGAGTCCCATGTAATAGGGGGTAAACCTATTGCCATATACCGGGCACAATTCCAGACTCCATACTACTACTGGGAATTTTTATAAAACCCAGTAGTAATTTGCCCGACCCGGGAATCGAACCCGAGATCCCTTGCCCGGCAGTCGCACTTGCGACCACTCGGTCAACGAGGCAGTCACGAAGCAGAGAGCAGTCACTTTTCAGTTTAGTTAATTTTTATGTTTTTAGTTTTTGGAAGACGTCTAACTAAGGTAATCTATTTGATATATAACGCTAAACTTATATGTAGCACATTTAAAGACTTATTAAAGGTACCCTTAACCGACGAGCATATAAACACTGATGACTATTAATAAAGCGAAAGAGGTATGTAAGAATCGTAGCAATTGGCGTTCTACCTACCCCTATTGGAGACAGGCGTCAGGTTATGTACGTATGTACTTATGTATTTTAATTTTTGCCTTTTGTCTGTATTTTTTTAAATTGATTTTGAAGAGGCAACGACGTGCCCAATACCTCTTCTTAGGAATTTTGCAGATGCGAAATAGTGCTCAGTCAGTACATTTTAAAGGTCGTAAGGTTTGTAATTTTTTAATAGCGTGGGAATATTTTTACACTGATATTTACAATTTTATTATTTAGTAATAAAGTATGCCATATTCGATATCATAATAAAAATTTTGAGGCTTAACATTCTCCAGTTGTTGCTCTCCTTCATCCAGCCCATAGTTCAAATCCATACCACTCCTTCTCCTCGCATGAGGATAATTTCGTTTTTTGGAATTCCGTTTTTTAGAAATTCGCTTTTGAAATCTTTTCTTTCGTAAGTCCCGTTTTTTAGGCTTTCTTTTATTGGCCCTTTTCACAATCTTGACATTTTCACCGCTTTTAAGTTTTCGCTTATTTTTGAAAAATTTCATAAAATACTTCAACGGTTTTGATCGTAGAAATTGCACCAGCTTTTCTCTATCGATCTTTTCATTTGTAACAATCTTTCTATAAGTATCGTTTATCATAAAAGCCGTATTCACAAATGGCAGTTGATTCAATTTCGCTTGCAACATCTCATCCATCTTTAATATGTCATAGTGATGTAGTTTTACAAGATCTGTGCGGTCATTCATAAACTCTTTCTTCATCTTTTTTATAAGTTGTAACAATTGCCGTGTCCTTTTTCTACTCTCGGCTGACCTGTTCCTATAAGCAGAGTTAAGTATTTTCTTAAATGCTACCACTATACGCTTGGCATTATCTCTGACTAATCTTTTTCTTTGTCGTCTTTTCCTCTTTACGAGCATTCTTTCCATTTTACGCTTTCGATGACCTATCACTTTTGCATTTCGTTCCTTTTCTTCAACTGAATCTGTGGAGCTGCCACTAACTTCCATAGATATGTCCAATCCTTGGTACAAGTCATAATTGGTCATTAATAGGGTGCAACAAACGAATGAAGTTCTACCACAGGCATAGTCACCACGATATATTCGGTATTCTGGCTCACATTCCCCTGGTAGCGTACAAGAGCCCCACGGTAAGTCATGTTGATCCGGATCTCCACAAGAAACTCCCCATGGTCCTTAAACATTTGAAATATAGTATGGTGACAATAATTACAAGTAACATTATTAATACTTTAATGTCTTCTAACTGATCTACTGAACCATGGGCCTCCTCCACATAGGAAGACTTGCCATAATCTACGCGCATGACAGATGGGTTAGACATTGATGAATATGTAGCCCCTCAGCTGGCTCTTAAAATTCCCGTTAATAAGATGTTAAATATATTATTCAACTTTGCCGACCTTAAACGGCTTACATATACGAACTTAAAAGACCTCAAGATTTATGAAATACTTACTAGCGGCAACCATGTTAATGACGTCACCTCGAGGCTGTGTCGAATTAAGTGCTTCAAATTTCTTTTGCATCCAATGGTCGTTGAACTCTTGCATCCATGTAATTTTATCCATATCTGAACTGAATGATGATGATGATGATGAGTCGCTTTCACATAAGCGTCCCCTAAATTCTGGAGTATTGTTCCCATTTTTATGCTTTTTGGTCTTATTATGTCTCTTTACTCCCATTGATTTTTCAAGAGGTGTACCTTTCTTCAAAGTAGTGTTATCATGAGATGAAAACATATTATGGTCTTTTGATATATATTTTTTTGTTAAATGTTGTCTAAAGATGTCCCCTGACTTAGTAATATTTTTATTCTTAGTTAATGTGCTACTAGTTTCATGCTCTAGTCTGCGAGTAACTTTGGAAAATACCCTTGTAACTCTTTTCTCGTTCAAGGCACCAGATTTATTCCGACCTGATGAGATTTCAAAGCTATGTGTGGTAAAATTTAATTTTGAATGTTTCTGCTTTTTCAAAATGTGTGTAATATTTTTATCTTTTCTAGTTTTAAATTTTGCTTTTGAAGTGATTTTTTTTGCTTTATTTATAAGTGTAGACAAGGTGTTAGCTAGCCGCTTAGGGCTATTATTAGATACAGTATCTTTAGTGTACTTCTTTGATTCTCTTCCAGTTTTGGAGGCAACGGTTTTATTATGAAATCTTTTGTTTTCTTTTGGTGAAAGGTCAATTTGGTCATCTATTTCTGTTCTAAATACCGGTAACAGTGCTGCATCAAATTGGTCACGATTATCGTTCGTAGTTCCAACGCCAGTTGAATTTTCTTTGTCATGTTTGTTCTTTGCAAGATCAGTATCATTATTCTGATGTAATTTTGTGTTATTTGAAGCTTTAAATAAAAATCTTCTAAATGTTCTTTTTTCTTTGGTACCAACTGTAGTTTTCTCTTTAGTGTGACGCTCCTCCCAAATTGCTAAAACATCGTCCTTTAAGTTCAAAAACAAACCAGCTTGAACAGTATCAACATATAAAATCAGTATCGTTAAATAAAAATACCGCATTTTACTTCAACATGTCTAACATGTATCCTATCAGAAATATTTATTCAAAAGCGTAGAGCAGTTAAATGTTTATCGGTAAGTATTACAATAAATGTTGAAGCCATTAAATATTTATGGGTACATTTATTTTATGTAAGTGGTTCGATATGTTCTGGTTGGACAATAAACCATTAAAATCACGAGATAATGTTAAACACGTGGTAATATTAAAAAGATATTAAGAAAATATCGCAATATCAAACATTAAAATAGAATAGATACACTCAAACGATGACCTTTTCAAAAATTACGTTAGTCGAATATTGAACGCCCAAATGTGTAACACTAGTCCTATCTTCAAGTGTGAGAGAGCCATGCTTCGGCACGAACGGGCCGGCTCGACCGGAGTGATACCACGGCCTCACAGGAAACCAACGTGAAACAACGCTTGCGTTGTGTTTCGTCGTGTGAGTGAGGTTACCGGAGGCCCAATTACCCTCCCCTTCCCCAATCGCCCCAATTCCTGAAACCTCAACGATCCTCAAACTCCTAATCCCCAAAAGGCCGGTAGCGCACTTGTCTATGGGCGACGCCGATTGCTTACCATCAGGTGATCCGTCTGCTCGTTTACCGGCTTATGCAATAAAAAAAATATCTCTAGTTCCATCATCGTACCACTAGACAATAGACGAAGCATCACCGATTCATGGTAGATGTCCCACCCACATGCACGAAGCGCTTCGCATCAAGCTTCCTAGAGCGTACTGCTGAGGAGTGTAATTATTTGCCAGGGTCTGTATTGCCTGAAGGGTATAACCTAGGTGTCTTCAAAGCCCGAGTGAATAGGTTGCTTATGGGACGACGTGCTCTATCGTAGACCGCATCATTGCTTACCAACAGGCGAGAGAGTGGTCAAATGTCGGCTCATCAAATATAAAATGAACCCTAGCTAATTCCGTATTGGAGGAAGAACAAAAGGTTCACACCAGCACCAACTAGTTAGTTAAAGTACAGTAGCTCCCATTCTAATGCGTCGTAACAGCGTATGAAATGTTTTATGACATAACATAACATCACGCCTTTTATCCCCGAAGCGGTAGGCAGGGGTGCACATTACGGCACTTAATGCCACTGCACCATGTAACACCCTCTTTTCACTATTTATGTTATGAGTCCCATGTAATAGGGTGTGAGCTTATTGCCACATAGGTACCAGGCACAATTCCAGACTCCGTGCTAACACTGAGAATTTTTAAAAAACCCAGTAATACTTTGCCCGACCCGGGAATCGAACCCGAGACCCCTTGCCCGGCAGTCGCACTCGCGACCACTCGGCCAACGAGGCAGTCAATGAAATGTTTCGTAGCTAAATAACTATACTTATTTGGAAAATTTTCATAAACTAAACGAGAATAAAATAAATGATGTAACTAATACTAGAAGCTACAAAGTTTTACGTAATTGCAGTATAATAGTTACTGACATCATCCGTCATTTATTCCAATAAAAACTTAAATAAAATTAAAACTAACTATTACTACATTAAATATATCCAGCTTAAGATAAAAATTAATTAAAATAAAACTAAAAACAACTATTTACATAAAGCATCGAAAAATTCGTCCGCATCGACGTCTGTGGAGAAAGTACCTAGAAGGCTGTTACTTAATATTAAAATCACCTATCAGTCTTATATGCACTATCAAACAAAAAGTTCCATTGAAATAATACTCACTGCTAGCGTACATATTGAATAACCCAGAATTTTGCCATTAGTTTCACACAAAATGTGCCATACAAAATATTCGATAAAAATTACCAGTCTTAAAATTCAGCTAGCTGCTAAATATCTCTAGACATCTAAGACTGGTCGTTACATTACCACTGCAGGGGTTCCTTCTAGCTATTATCCTGGAGTATCCTTACATTCCTATCTCGATAACTTTAAGAAAATTCTCACCTGAAAATATTTTTGAACGACCTATGCTGTTTGTCTTTCTGTCCGTATCGTAATGTTTAATAACCAATGTTACTTTGCAACAAAAAATAGAGAAATGGGATGATGAAAAATGTGTAGGTACACTACAATTGGGATGATGACAGGGTATGAAAATTAAAAATAAAATTACTCCGTAAATTATGTATTGAAAAAATATTAGACACGTATTTTTTTATACCATACTTAGATAAAACTATCAAAGTTTAGGAGTGAGGGCTAAAACGTCATTTGTACGTATAAAATGTACATAGAAGTGACGTGACGCGACATTTCAAATCAATGTATCGTCGAAAGTATTGGTTTCTGTAAGAAAATAAAAAATACGTGTCTAATGTATTGAAATAATCTACCAGACGGACATTAAAATAAAAATTAGGCATCTACCCTAATGCTAGTATTTGTCACATTAATAATTATATTACCTATTAAAATGGCAATGCTTAGAGCCGTATCTTCCCTAAGGTATACTAGCCACGTGACTAAGGCGCCATACTACAGAGGAGCACCGCGAAATGTGCGTGCCTAACTGCCTATAGAGAGGTGACGGAACAAAGCAATTAGGGACGCCTATGAATGAGGTGCTTGACTTACCTTTAATTCGCCTTAGCAATGCTCCTAAGTGTGTCTGCGCCGATACTGTGTCATCAGTGACCAACGCAACTCAGTAACGTTGTCGTAAGAATAGTAATATACGATCCCAAACGAAAAAGAAGTCTTAATCCTTCAGAACTTGGGCTTTAGAGAAAAATGTTTCGTTGAACTTGAAAGCCATAATAAGTTCAATTTCATCATCACATCGACAGCCTATATACGTAGCCACTGCTGACCAAAGGCCTCTTCTCACACGGAGAAGGTTTGAGCATCAATGTATGCATGAATAGTCTCCAATATTAACTTAGACTGCTTTTTTGAGGGGGAGAAAATCATCCAATGACTTTTCCCCCCTTGAGTGAAGTGAAACGGAGTGTTAGACTATTACTAACTAGAAACCGCCCCGTTCCGACTCCCGCTTTTCGAGACGGAGCCCCGGCAACTCGGTAGGCCTTCCGCGGTTCCGTATCGGGAAACGCTGTTCGTATTTCAGCCCAATTGATCCCCATTTATCGTTTCTATTGCTTACGAGTACGACACCCGTGGTAAGAGTAGAGCTAGTAGTAATCAAGATACAAATTTGTTGTATTTCACCATTACTTCATGGTTTGTTTAATTTATTACTGAATGTTATAAAATAATATGCTAAAACAAACAGTAGATACGTTTAGTAAGCGCCTAACCTAAAGTTATTCGTAACTGCATTCGCATGCATAGTATCTTTGACAGTGACCGTCTTATTTAATAAAAACTTTTATTATATAAGTATCACAGTCGTTTTAATACATAATCTTGTAATTATAATGTACATGGACTGTCTGGTTGGGCAGCAAAGAATTCGAATTCGATTCCTTGATCGCTTTTTCTTGTTTTTATATATAACAGGGAGAACTTTAAAAATATCTACAAAAATCTACTGTCAGTGTGTGGTAGGCAACGTCCTCGTGATGCCACTGGTGTTGCGGGCGTACTTAAGCTATGGAAACCGCTTATCAACAAGGAATATATATAATCTATAGTGGTATTAAATAAAAGAAATAAAAATAATAAGCCTTTATCTTCAGGTGTCGACAGTGTAGAGTGTTAGTGTTCGAAAACTAACCTCAAAACATCTTTACAGTTATCCACCTTATCAGTGAAATTATTTCAGTTCGATAAACAGTACAAACTTAAAAAACTATGTCAGTAGTAGCACACGAGTACAATAAATAAATAATACATACACAAATACAAATACAACACAGATTATTAGTAGAAGATTTATCAAGCCCCACGTCTGACATGCAGCTTGATAAATCTATCTATTGTAGGCCCTTCTAGCCTTTCTGCACATACCTTCAGAATGTAAAGGCTTTCCCTCAGTCTGCGCAACACTGATGCCACTTTTTGCGCATGATCGCGAAATAATCATCAGTGTGCGCATCCGCGAACATACCTGACGCAATACAGTAAGGTGGAAGCCTCAACAGCGCCTTGAAGGCGTTATTATATTGAATGCGCATTGCGCTGTCTGCTTTTTGGGTATGATTAGCCTACAGACTGCTGATGTAAAATATTTGACAAAACGCCTTAAAACGGGTTTTTTGCTGAACAACCAGCAAACCCTCGCGCCAACATGTTTCCCCTAACAGCCAGCGCCCTGCGCTCCCTTTCCATATCTAGATCATCTTTTAAATCCTCTGTCACAATATGGCCCAGATATTTGAATTGTGATACCCTATTTAAAGGTAATCCGTTCAGTTTTACCTATGGGATATATGAGGGAGTTTTATTTTTTTCCTTAAATACCAATAACTCGTCGCGGAGAACCTAACGAGTTACCGGGGCTCCGGCTCGAAGCGCAGGAGAAGAAACGGGATGGTTTTTAGTCAGTAAGAGTCTGACACTCCCTCCCGCCTCACCCAGGCGGGAGCAGTTATTCAATGATTTTCCCCCCTTAAAAAAATACCAATAACTCACGGTGTTTTACACCATACACAGATATAAATGCCAATGTTCAGAAACATTCGAAGTACTTATTGATTGATTGATGATATTTTGGTTCGAGTATTTGTTTTCGTGTCATGGGATATTTTACAAACATACAAATTGATAAACACATCACACACACATATTTACCACAAGCAATAGTAACAGTCATACAACCCATATACAACAATTTGTGGATCAAGAAAATGATCCCCGTATCACATTACTTAGCAGCCGTAGCCGGCTAGCCACCATACAGTCGAAACATTATTAAGGTATTACACAATACAGTCGCTTTCCACGAGTTTTCTTAGCTAACACAATATTCTATTTAATATCAATACAATATTTGTCTACAGCGGTTAAAATCAAAGTCAAAATAATTCATTTCAATTATACCAGGCAAGCACTTTTGAGTGGCAACAAAAAATTTAAAAGTGAACCTATTTGCTATGGAGAAGGACGAGCACGAAACTCCATAGGTAACTCTTTTTCAGTCAGGTTCACAATACAATTCCCTAGTTACATAATGTTGTTGGTTCAATTGTGAGAGAACTATGCAACACCAAAATCCAGCCACAGAGTGCGGATATTGCTACTAATATAATATTATGTCCCTATCTCTAACAATATTGTAAATGCTATTGTTTAGAATGAGTATGTTCAACCCTGTTACGTAAGAATGGCTGAATCTTAAATTTGATTATATTCAGCACATGAATATAACCCAGATAAACTAAATGTAAAATCTTAGGACATTGTACCATTATTATAATAATATATGTAATACTAGTTTTCTGTCATGGTGGTCCGAAGGTTTCAGACGCCCGCTTCTCATACATGTTCGAAACCTACCAACGGCAAGTACCGATGTGACTTTTTCCAAGTTATATGTACTTTCTAACATTATCTAGACACCACTGACAAACGGTGAAGGAAAAACATCGTGAGGAAACCTGAGCTAATAATTTCAAATTATAAGTTTAAAATCGTCAACCCGCATTGAGCAAGCGTGGTTATTAATGCTCAAACCTTCTCCGTGGTGTGAGGCGTTTATAGGCTGTTGATGTGTGATGTGGCTAACTTTCTGTCTATGGTTTCGCCAGCGTGGTAATTACTTTCGAGAAGGACATACATAAGTCCGTACACCAGGCAAGATGGTGGCCGAACGTCAACCTTTTAACTCGTCGAGCACCGTCATTATAGACACAATTATAGAACAATAGGTTGCGGTCACCGGTGACCGCTTGGTGTTCGACAGTTTAAATATAAAACATAGTTAGTATTTTGACACAGGCTGTTCCTAGGCGTATGTCATTGTATACTGGTCAAACATGTATGCTTCGGGCTGGTAATAAAGTTTTTTTTTCTTATTTTTTTTTTATTTTATATAGGAAAATTAGGATAAGAACATCATATTCGACTTCCTAAAAACTAAACTTAGTTTCAGATCCTATTAAATACGAACAAAATAAACATAATATCTTTCTTATATATATATTAGTGAAAGTAAAATAAGTGCATATTTTTGAATATAAAATTTTCCGTTTTCTAACTTTTAATTTGAGAAGAAACTATGAAAAACAGATGCAAGTGGTACAGACCTAGCCATCAGACCACCAGAGATAGGTCCCAATAGGGCTGATGCCGATACGGAGCCGCGGAGGGCTTAACGGGTTGGCGGGGCTCCGGCTCGAAGTGCAGGAGTAGGAACGGGATGGTGTTTAATCAGTAAGAGTCTGACACACCCTCTCGCCTCAGAAGTCACTGGATGATTTACCCCCTCAAACATAAAAAAGAGGTACATACCTATATTGCGTACCCATCGACAAGATTGAAGACAACGTAGTAACGTAACGTACTCTAGTAGTTACTTAGACACAAACAACAACCTACAGACTTAACTACAGACTTATGGAAATATATCTATAAAAAAAAAAATAAGATACAGCAATATACCAACAATAACCTGCAGAGTTAACGTCCTGTTACAAATGCTATTTTAAGCACGACAGCATGCTTCAATTGAGCACTTGTCTCTTAGTATCATGTCTGTCGGGATGTTGCTCAAAATCAGCATGCTCATTTCGGGCATGCCTGCAAATCGACAAACGTTCGACTTTTAACTTTTTTGAGCATGCTCAACAGAATGCCTTGTGATGCATGCTTAACAGGACCTTAAGAACATGACACTTAAAAGTCGGTTAAATGAAATAAAATCAAAAAGTATTGAACGCAAACTTTAATTACTCAATAATAAAGCATACCGTACTCGACGTCATAATCGAGTTTTTTAGGTTTCAACTGCAAAGATCGAGAAGCTCTATCACCTGGATCTAGCCCTGCAGTCAAATCAATGCCACTCCTACGTTTATGCTTCAATGTATTTCTACGCTTCAGTTTCATATTCATATATTTGGCTAACTCAGGGTGACTTCGTAGGAGTCGCTTCAACTTTCTTTTACTCAGTGAACCATTAATGATAATATTTCTAAACGTGTCATTTGACATAAAGTTCTCATTTACACTCTGTATTTGATCCAACTTAGCTTTCAATTCATCATCTATTTTTATCAATTCAAAATCATGGACTTGCACCACAGACTGACGATCCTTCTTATACTGCTTCTTCATACTTTCAATGAACTTCTTCAACTGTTTTGTCTTCTTCTTTCGTTCATTAGTTCCATTCCTGTACGCATTATTCAATATCTTTCGGATTTCTTTTATAATTTTTCGAATGTTCTTCAATATTTTATTTTTCCTCTTTTCCCTTTCTTTCTTCCGTTTATTTTTGTCCTTATCTTTCTTTCCATTGTTCTTATCGGGTGCGTCATGTTGACGATTCAACTCTGCGGTATCAGTACCGAATTCTGAATCTTCAAAAGATATATCTAAACCATTATACATGTCATACTTTGTAGCTAGAATAGCGCAACAAATATACATTGTGTTACCACAGTGAATATCACCCCGGTATATTCGGTACTCTGGTTCACATTCGGCTGCTAGCATGCATGTACCCCATGGCGCGTCATGTTGATGGGGATCTCCACATTGCGTTCCCCATGGTCCTAAAAATATTAAGAAAACGAAATTGTTCTAATGGAAAAGTACACGATAAAATAATAATTTAATAAATTTTACATAGTCATGAAAAATAAGTACGTATACTTACTAGCAGCCGCCATATTCACCACGTCACCCCTAATTATAGAAGAATTAAGAGCCTCGAATTTTTTCTGGAGCCAAAGTTCATCCCATTCCTGCTTCCAATCGGGTAAACCCAAAGACGAACTATCACTCTCGTCGGAGCCTTTTTTTCTGAAGTCAGTTAGTCTGCCGCGTCTTCGCAACTCATTTAATACAGGATCCATGAGAAAGTATTCTCTGCCTATTTTTTTGTCGATACTTTCTGGTAACTTTGGAGAAAATAAATCCCTATCAGGATTCTTATCTACCTTGTGAAATTGTACTTTTTTCAAGACATTGGCTTTATTTCGAGCTAATTTCCTGTCGTTTCCATCTTCGTTCATCGTATCTTGAATCCTCTTCATTGAACCCTGGCCCTGTATTTTTTCTTTCGCACCAGCATTTCGGCTATTCTCTAGCATTGATCGAATTTCATTAAGATTCAAATATTTCGATGCCTGAATAGCGCCGAGGAAGAAAATCAAAACCGTTAGATAAAAATACCGCATTTTACTTCAACATGTCTAACATGTATCCTATCAGAAATATTTATTCAAAAGCGTAGAGCAGTTAAATGTTTATCAGTAAGTATTACAATAAATGTTGAAGCCATTAAATATTTATGGGTACATTTATTTTATGTAAGTGTTTTGATAACTTCTAGTTGGACTGTAAAATTTAGGTACCTTTACCAAATCGTCTGTACTTTATAAAGACTTAGTATTTATGAAAACTGCAATTTATTATTAAATAAAGTTGCATGTTCATTGTTTTATTGATCCTCCTATCTCAGACAGTTTAAGACTACTATATTATAAAATTCTTATTATCATTTCTATTACGAAATATTTAAAACTCTGCCGGCACCACCTTTACAGACATTTTTCTAGAATCCACCTCAAGTTGCTACTTAAATCTACATGATGCTTTCTCCATTCACACTCTCGATTTAAACTTATCATTTTACTAACAAGTCTAGGGTTACTGACAACCGGCCACCGTAAAATGTCTCTGTGGACGGCGATATCATGGGTAGCTGATCAACGCCCGATCACATGCTCGCGGATATTGAAACTGTCATGACCTGGCATAAAGAATAGCGTGAAAGGTTACTTTTAAAAAAATGGGGAATAATTAATTAAAATCCTCTTATATCTGTATACTATACTGTTACAGTAATACTTTTGGAGTAACCCTTTTTTTAAGGATGGTAAATCGTTCTACGCCGCTCTTTAGGGAAGGCGAGAGGGAGTGACAGACTCTTATTGACTAAAAACCACCCTGTTCCTACTCCTGCACATCGAGCCGGAGCGGAGCCCCAGCAACCCGTTAAGTCAGGCGTCAGCCCTATTGGGTGGTCTGATAGCTCTTTGAAGCGCGAACGACACGGGACGTACCATACGCTCGGGTCTGGTCTGGCGGCCGCGGCGAGTCACCCGTACTCGCGGTCCGCAGCCCCAAGGATATGCGCCTAGCAACACATGTAGTGATTTAGCGATTTATTTGGATTAGTTAGTTCACCTGTTCGCGTCCACTTTACCGGTTTGCGTCCATGTTACGGAACGCCCTTTAAAAACTCCATCATGTCTGTTTGACTTCTTCACGTTTTAAGTATCTTACATTCATGGCGATCCGTAAAATGGATGCAAACTGGTAAGTGGACTGGAATTTTATGGTAAGTGGCCTATTCTATGCAACCAGTGGTAGAGAATACTACCTGATTGCATACACTTATAATAAAAGTAATAGTTGCATGTTAGTTATGTCTGTCTGCCTATATACGTCCTAACAAGCTCAAAGACCACTATAGGGAATGGATCTAGATAATAATATAGAATATTAACGCTTTTACCCGCGGCTTTTTTCGTGTATTCCTGTTTTATCCCATGGGAGCATTTAATCGGGATAAAAATTCCTACACTTAAGTCAGCCCATCATACCCTGCGTATATATAGAAATCTGTTCAGTAGTTTCAACGTGATTGACGGACAAACATCTAAACAAAGAAACTTTTACATTTATAATAATAGTGTGACTAGCTTCTGCTAGCGGCATCGCCCGCCTTCCCGTGTGGTAAAGTAGCCTGTGTTATTCCAGGGCATGACCTACCCCTATACCCTAATTTCCCTGAACGTACGGCGTTTCCCCGAGCGTACGGCGCACCTCAAAGAGCCATCAGACCACGACGGATGGGGCCCAATAGGGCTGATGCCGATACGGAGAGCCACAGAGAACCTAGTTTAAGACCACTATATTATAAAATTCTTATTATCATTTCTATTAAGAAATATTTAAAACTCTACAAGCACCACCTTTAAAGACAGTTTTATCTTTAAAGGTTTTATTATAGAACCCATCTCAAGTTGCTATTTGAATCTACATGATGCTTTCTCCATGCAAACTCTCGATTTAAACGTATCATTTTGTCGCGGAGAACCTAACGGGTTACCGGGGCTCCGGCTCGAAGTGCAGGAGTAGGAAGGGGGTGGTTTTTAGTCAGTAAGAGTCTGACATCCCTCCCGCCTCACCCAGGCGAGAGAAGTCTTTCGATAATTTTCCCCCCGTAAAAAAATCCAATTTCATCCCAATTCCTTCAATTGTTATGACGTGAAGGAGTAACATACTAACTATCGCATTTATAATATTAGTAGGATAATATAGCCTGTGTTGTATAAATAATTAACGTGTCCTAGAATTAGTAATAGATATTGTTAGTGCTCCTCTCGCCTGTGACAAATGATATTCTTCCTAGTACAGGCATTCAAACTTGGTGCGATCTCTGATTTTAAATTAAGATGTTTTATCTTCGTGCAACTACAAAATTTTCCAATAAAAAACACAGATATACTTAACTCAACCCAGGAATTCAACCCGAGACCCCTTGCCCGGCGTCGCAGTTGCGACCACTAGGCGAACTAGGCAGTCTGGAATTGTGCCCGGTATATGGCAATTGGCTCACGATAATGCGCTTTGGATGCCTTTTACAACCATTTCCCTTTATCGAGACAGTTTAAATTCGTACATGATATTATGTTACAAACAATTATTATGCGCTTATGACGTTTAAAACACAATTTTATAAATCAAATGGTAATGGTACACGTAACGCCATCTATCCGACGATACTAGTATCGTATAACTATATAAGTATAACTCTAGAGTTATAGTTTATTTTGGTGTAATTTTAATTTTATCAAACTATACTGGACTGGGTGCAGTTTAACATTAAATATTTTGTTATAATTTACTCGTAATAATGAAAATAGTCGCTTGATATCAAGTGATGATACAGCCAATGACGGACAGACCATGCCTACAATCCACCTATGCACTTAGGACTTGAAGATACCGAAGTCATACCCTTCAAGCTGACGCAAACTGCGTAATTCTATGTTTGTGGCGGCTGTATTTGTAAAAAGTTTGAGAAAACTCTAACAGATGGCGCTAAAATATAACTGCTGTCGGAACCCTCGCTTCGCAACAGGGTAGTTTCCAATGTTTTTTTGTTCGTCTTTTTAAAATAATCGACACATATTTTTCATTATATACATAACTTCACTCCTGTATCCCATGGGGGTAGGCAGAGACTATGGAACGCCATTTGGTACGATTCCTACATAACTCTTTCGTTTTATCAACAGTCATCAATCTTTTTATGCATGTAAAATTAAATACGTTTGACGATATATTGATTTCAAACATCTTATGACGTCACGAGACATATTACGTTTTATTTATAAATGTGGGACGTAGCGACCTCTCACTCCTGAACTTAAATTCGTATTGTTCTCTTAAACATACTTGACGACACGGTTGGTGGGCAACTGGCTGCCGCGCAACGTGTCGTGGATTCAACACCCGCACGTAACAACTCTTTAATCTAAACCTCGCACCACTTCGTCTATAAATCGCTGATAGGTTTGACCAGCGTTCGTGTGATCCACAAATTGTTATACCAGGTCTGGGTGTCATGTATATGTGAACTTGTATGTTGTAAACGCACCAACGACACAGGAGAAATTCTAGTGTGGGGGGGGGGGGGCAAAGTAGTTTTAAGAAAAAAAAATGTAATAAAATAAAAAAATACGTGTGTAATATTTTTTCGTTATCTACTTTACGGACGAATTACATTTTTAGTTTTAAAACCCTGTCAACTACCCATGATCAAATGAACTTGCACGGTTCTCCCAGGCAAAATTATATTTGTATGTCATTTACATACAGACA